CGGGCCGGCGAGCGCTGGCGGGGGTGGGCTGGGGGCTGGGCGGCCGCGTCCCGAGGACTGTGAGCGGCCCCTCCGCGAAGCCCCCGCGTCACGGCCGGGCGCGGTGGCTGGCGCCTGCCGTCCCGGCGCTTTGGGAGGCCGAGCCGGAGGGTCGCTTGAGCCCAGGAGCTGGAGACCAGCCTGGGCAACACAGTGAGACCCTGTCTGCACACACAAATTAAAAAAAAATTTAGCCGGACGTGGTGGCACGCGCCTGTCGTTCCAGTCACTCGGAAGGCTGAGGCAGGATTGCTTGAGCCGCAGAGGTCAAGGTTGCGGGACCCGTGATTGTGCCATTACACTCCAGCCTGGGTGACATAGTGAGACCCTGGCCATAACATAAAATCAAACAAAATGCCCAGGTCCTTGATGGAGAAACCGACGTCGAGGCCCTCATTCCACAAATGTACGCACACACGGGGTCTCAGGACCCGGGAGCATGCTGGGAGGAGGGTTTCTCCTCTCAGGTCGCCACGGGAAGCGTGCAGGGGGCAGGGAGGGCGGGGCAGATGGGTGCTGGCTGTAGGGGTGGCTGCCTATGGGTGCTCCCACACGTGGGTGCCACTCGAGGGTGTCCGTACCCTGCACTCAAGCCCCTCTGCTGTGTGAAGTCCTTTCCAGGCCTACGTGGCCTCCATTCAGTGAAGATAAAGATGAGGCCCAGCTCAGGTCTGCCCTGGCCGCATAAGGGGCAGATCCAACTTTTTATTTTCTTTTGATTCTGGGTCTCACTGTTGCCCAGGCTGGAGTGCAGTTGCACGTCATGGCTCACGCAGCCTTGACCTCCTGGGCTCAGGCAATTATCCTACCTCAGCCTCCTAAGTCGCTGGGACTACAGGCGCATGCCACCATGCCCGGTTAATTTCTTGATTTTGTTTTTGTTTTGAGTCAACAATATGCTCATGGCCACCACAGCCTCGACCCGCTGGGCTCAGGCGATCCTTCTGCCTCAGCCTTCCAAGTAGCCAGAACTACAGGTGTGTGCTATCACACCCGGCAAATTTTTGATTTATTGTAGAGACGAGGTCACGCCAAGTTGCCCGGGCTGGTCTCGAATCCGTGGCCTCAGGCAATCCACTCGCCTCGGCCTCCCAAACCGCTGGGATCATAGGCTGAGCCACTGAGCCCAGCCAAAACTTGTTAATAGAGACAGGGTCTCGCTCTGTTGCCCAGGCTGGTCTCGAATTCCTGGGCTCTAGCAATCCTCCCGCCTTGGCCTCCCAAGGTGCTGGAATTACAGGCATGAGCCACAGTGCCCGGCCAGAGGCATTTCTTGTGCCGAGCAGTGTCTCACGCTGGTGATGGGCGGCAGTCCCTCTTGAGGGCACATGAACCCATGTGGCCTTGTGCAACCGATTCAGTGACCTGGGCCTGCTTCCCATGGATCCTGTAACCCCAGGCACATCCCTGGGCAGAGCTGCCAGGACCACAGGTCTCCTGGGGGTCACAGGGACACATGGACAATGCTGGGAGGACGAGGGCAGCTGGTGACAGCCACGTGCACAGAGGCCTGTGGTCTGCGCTGTGCATGGCCCACGGGAGTTCGCTCTGTCTACCCGGGGCATGAGAACCGACTGGCCATATACATGCTGGGAGCTGTCACGTGGAACCTGTGTCCACAGCTTCCGGCCTTCGTTGAGCCCGCGGGCCCAGCACTGAGCAACATCTTCATTCCCTGTCCCCACCCACCCGCGAAGCATCACACGTGGAGCCCATCCACGGTGAAAGAACCAGCGGCCACTGGGCAGCCCCGGTATGGCCTCCCCCCCCCAACTGCGTTGCCTCCGCCTGGCGTGACAGCTGGCTGCGTGCAGCCCCATGAGAACATCTTATGCAAGCCCCATGAGAACATCCCTGAGGCCTCGCCATCCTGGCTCGGGGCTGCACACACTGGGTCACCCGCAGCTGTGTCTCTGAGCGGGAAGGGTGGAGTGGGCTCGCGGGCCCTGCCCCGAAAGAGGAAACCCTGATGTGTCCTGTGACGAGTGACATGACAACTGTGTCCTCATGCTCCCGGGGTCCCAAGGGGAAGAGCCACAGGGACCCGCTGCAGCCACGTGGCACCACCCACATGGCCTGCGTCACAGCCTCAGGCACAGCATGACACCAGCGCTCCCATTTAGGGCCCAGGGACCTTCTCCAGCAGAGATGTGGCTCAAGGGACCTGCCCTTGCCCCAAAAGGTCATGGGCAGCAGAGACCCGCCGCCTCCCTGACTCTAAGGTCACCAGGGAGATCCCCACTCAGTGAAAAGGAAGAGTGCCCGCATCAGTTCTGGCGCAGGAAGGTCGGCAGGGGTTGGGGTCGGAAGCGTGACCCGGGAAGGCCACCTGGCAGGAGTGATGCCCTCTGAACCTCAGATGAGTGCCACAGATTTAGGCCTGTCCTCGGTCCTTAAACCTAAGAGCACTGTTGCTGGGGCATGATGGCTCAGCCTGTAATCCCGGCACTTTGGGAGGCGGAAGCCAGAGGACTGCCTGAGCCCAGGGAGTCGAGACCAGCCTGGGCAACTTGGTGAGACCTCGTTTCTACAATAAATCAAGAAGTTAGCCGGGCGTGGTGGTGCATGCTTGTAATTCCAGCTACCTGGAAGGCTGAGGAGGAAGGATCGCCTGAGTCCAGCAGGTTGAGGCTGCAGTGGCTGTGACTGTGTCACTGCACTCCAGCCTGGGCAACAGAGTGAGACTCCAACTCAAGACAAAAACAAAAACAAAACCCCAAAATCTTAAGAGTCCTATAAACCCACCCCCATCGAAGGGCAAACCACACAGCCCCAGGGCCATGGGGTCAGGGGCAAGCAGCTGTCACAGAGGACTCTGAGTCCACTGAGCCCTCGGGTGGGGGGCAGGAGGCACACACTGGGGTCTGGGACAGGACCCGTCTCCCTCTGGGGCCTTTAGCACATGAGGCGCCGCACCTTTCGATTCAGCCCGAGTTTGCCTTGAGATCTTTCAGCCACACTGAGATGGTCTCTGAGCCTCCTGGGTCCTCCTTTCTTGGAGAGGTGACCTAGGGTGAAGAATCCACACATGTCCCCGGTCCTGGCCATGTTTGGGAGAACAGAAAAGCAGCCTTAACTGCAGAGGGCTGTGGAGACCACGTGGCTGTCTTGCCATGGGACCCCACGGCCGCACTGGCAGCAGCCAGGACCACAGAGGCAGCTCAAGGCCTGGGTCCCCACTCCTCACAGCAGATGACAGACACCTCGTCACCCACCAGACCAAAAGCCTTGTTTGACACATTAGAAATAGATGTGAAAACCCCATGATAATTTCATTCTCCCAAGACTACCAAGTCCCTGCCAGTGAATCCTTGGACACTGTATCTAGAGTTTCATAAAGCTACCAACAGGAGAAAGAGCTCTTTTTTTTTTTGCGTTGGAGTCTCACTCTGTCACCTAGACTGGATTGCAGTGGCCGCTCCCGGCCACCACAGCCTCAACCTGCTGGGCTCCGGCGATCCTTCCACCTCAGTTTTCCAAATAGCTGGAACTATAGGCGCGCGCTACCACACCCGGCTGATTTTTTGATTTATTGTAGAGGTCTCGCCAAGTTGCCCAGGCAGGTCTCGAACCC